GGTTGTAATCAGTTCACCTGTGTAGACCTACCTATGTGCTCACAGGCAATGCAAATCATTCATGGGCTGTTGAAGAAGGTCAATAAGCTAGAAGTAAGATTACAGACAAGGAATAGAAGAGAGAGAAAACTGTGGATATACTTGGCTGCCTTACGGTGCATCATTTTATCAATGTGGTTTGTAATGTAGAGTAAGAAATAATGTAATAAGGGGGACTATTATGAATGAATGAATGTAATGAAGGGAAATATTATGAATGAAATGTAACAAGGGAAGTATTTTGAATGAAAATTTCAAATTTTGTGTTAAGGTTTTACTCTTAAAAAAAAAAAAGAGCATCACTACATTTGTTTGTCCCTTAAAAAACAATTTGTGTTCACCCTTACAAAAACAGGCCATTATCATTTAATTAATTAAAAAAAAAAAAAAAAAAAAGTGGCATTGCGTGTTACTTTAACTATTTGTCATCCATCCATTAAAAAAAAACTAATTTGTGGCCTCTTTGAATAGCCCCTTGGCAACCAATGAGTAAAATACCTATCACTGACATCCATTCATCAAATGGCAACAAATAAATAAAAAACCTATCACCCGCATCCATCCATCAAATGACATTCATTTAATGAATGAAAAACCTATCAGTGGCATTTATTAAAAACACACAATTGGAATCCATCCATCTAATGGCAACCAAAACCAACAGAAGCTACATTTACATAGAAATGAGTAGTACCATCCATTAAAATAGAGCATCATGCACAAAAGCAACATTCATAAATTTGTCATTCAAGTTTCAAAACACACAATTATTTGTGACAACCAAAATACTACATTTACATAGTTAACAAGTTTAGGGCAACAATTCCAAACAAAAAATCATTACATGTACAAAAAGCCTCAATGAGAAAGTCATGTAGATGCTTCATTCTTCTATCCAAAAATAATAATAATAATAATAAATTTCAATCTTTTGTGCAATGGATGCTTCCTATTTCCAATCTCCAGGTGCTCCCCTTTTCTGTCTAGTGGATACTATTTTAAGGCCACTAGCATTGTGCACTAGCTTGCCTCTCCACATCATTTGACCCTCATTTGGTGTGCTGGTTGAACTCATTGGAGATAGAGTTGACTGGCTTTCTTGTACCACTCTCTTTTAACTTGTAATAAGATTGAATTATCCACAATTAAACACAATCAAATATAGGATAGTTAAGTTACTATTTATTTTATTTTTTTAAAAACAAAAGAAAAGAAAGAAAGAACACTGACAGCCAGTTTCTTCTGTCTCATGTGTCTCTTGACCTTCGATGCTTCTGTAGTTAATTAACTCTTGAGGTTGGCTTGGTTCAATTTGGCTCCCCTGAGGTTGGCTTTCTTGTATGTAGCTGAATCTGCCCTTGACCTGGTAACTTCTCCTGTTGTGTCCCACCTTCCCACAATTATTACAAGTGATTTTAGTGCCCTGCCTTCCTAGCTTTGTGCCTTGAATTAGTGCCTCACTCTCCTTTCTTTTATTTTGTTTAGGCCTCCCAACTCTCTTCTTTACATCAGGTGGTAGCACCTTTGCATACTTAGTTCTTGGCCACATTTCTCTACCACTAATAGGACTCAACATATTGTCATAGGTCTTCAGATAAGTCTCCACCTTATAGTACTGATGAACATATTTTTCTAGTTCTTGACCTAAGAAATTTGCAGCAGCCACAGCATGGGCACATGGAATGCCTGACAGATCCCACTTCCTGTAGCCACAAGTCCAAGCTTGCAAGTCCAGTTTGTATTGCTCACCATATGGCCTTACAACCTCAAATTGCTCATTGTCATTCCATCTAGGAATCCATCCAGCTGCATCCACTTTCATTTTCTCCAAATGATTTTGAATCTTAAGACATATAGGACCATTGTGTCTTTACATTGCATCTCTTTTTTTTTGAACTGTTTCCATTAACAACAACCTAATTTTCTTTAACATTGTAACCACAGGTTTACTACTAGCTTCCAAGATGCTTGAATTGAAGCACTCACATAGATTGTTTAGCAAAAGGTCACACTTTGGAAAAGTGTTGAAATGATTCATACTCCAATGAATTGGTGGTCTTTTAACTAACCAATCATATGCCTTACAATCAACTTCTTTAATCTTTGCCATCACTCTGGTAAATACAGGAACAGTTGTTGCCCTTGCAGCCTTCCACAATAGATCTTTTAGAACCAATCTCTTGTGTTCACCTTTAAAATTGTTGTGCAAATACCTCACACAAAACCTGTGTAAAGCATTTGGGAACAACTCAGCCACTGCATTAATCAAACCTTTTTGTTTGTCACTCATGAAGGTATAACAATAAGAGTTTACAATATTCAGATCATGTCCTAGCAGCTTTAGAAACAATAACCATGCTTTTTTCTTCTCTTTCTCAACAATTGCATAGGCAAATGGAAATATGCAATTGTTTGCATCTACCCCAACAACTGTCAATAGAATAACACCATGTGACCTCTTTAAATGGTATCCATCAACTCCTATGACTGGCCTATAACCATTCATAAAAGCTTTTTTCAATGGACCCCAACACAAGTACAACCTTTTGAACTTTGACTATGTATTGCTCCCATCACTAACCCTTGGATTACTCCCTTCATTAACCTTTGGAATCTGTTTCACCTTTATGCGAACTGTTGTCTCAGGATTGGTATTCCTAATCTCCTTAACGTAACTCCATAACATTGCAAACTGCTCAGCTGCAATATCCTTTACTCGTGTCAACACCTTATTTCTTGCCCTTCTCACTTTTTGTAAGTCAACCTTCGCATTGTGCTCACTTGAAATAGTGTTTGCCAATGACTGAATTGGCTATGTAAAATTTAACCTAATTATTTCAAAGTACCTCTTTACAATCTATTTGGAACTCACATGTGCCACATCAAAAGACTTATTACAAGCGTGCTCATCAACAAGTGTTTTGATCCTATACAACCCATCATGTTTTACATATAAAGCATAACAAACCCAAGGACAACCAACTTTGTACTCTGCCCTCACCTTTTGTTTGTCATTCTTGGTAAATGTTATATGTTTGCCCCATTTAATTGCATACTCCTTCATAGCATCCCTAAACATATCATGACTTTTGAACTCAATACCAAGTTTGAATTGAGGATTGTACATATTAAAGTCAACATTAAAAACAAGGCATTGCCTTCTATGAGAAGTACGTCCTTCATCAGATGAGCTGTCAATACTTCTTAGCTCATCAAAGGAACTTCCAAGGCTTTGTATGTCATTAACTACCTTAGCCATTGCATTCTTACTACTTCCTACACCAGCAAACTCTAGATCTTTGTCAACATTAACCTCATACAATGCATCATCATCAGAAAATCCATAGTCACTATCCTCATATTTTTCAAACTCATCAGATAAGAAAGAGTTTGAGGGAATAGGATCATAGTCATCACTATCTTCCTCTTCTGCTACTTGTTATCTAGAAGTACTCCCATTCTCTGACTTCTTTTTGCATTTAACCCTACTCGATTAACTTGGGCACCTATAACACCATCTATTTCAAAAAAATTTACATAAACCTCTACTACTCTGTTTCCATCCACAAGTGTTTCCAACCTCATTACATCTTGATTAGTGTTAATTAACTCTAACCCAGCACAATAATTAACCTTATAGTAATAGATGTTACATCCAGTGCAGTCTACTTCCTTGGCCATATCATCAAACTCCACAAGTAATATTTCATCAGAATTACAAAAGTCAAAATAACTGATAAATCCACAACTATAAACTCTCTGAGGATTATAACTAACCAAATCCCCATGATGCATTTTGATTGTGAAATAACAAGATCCTTTCTCTACATTTTTAAATGAACAAATATGCTATTATGGACTAATTATATTAATACATAAATAAAAATAGTATTAAACTACTATTACCATAAGACAGTTCCAATTGAAGAAATCCATGTATGAATACATTAAAAAAAAACTTTGTTTGTATTCTTGGTAAATTGATTTTTAATAAATATTACATAAAAAATGAGTTTCTTTTAAGGACTGACTAAACTAAAACTAATCAAGTATTACACTATTCAAGTAAAATAATTACGATTAAATAAATCCTTTTGAAAGACAAACACACAAAGATGTATTCTAAAAAATGTCAAATCAAAATAGTATTATATCAGAAATCGATTTTTCATAATCATTAACTTCAAAATTAAACAAATATTAAAAATAAATACCATAAATAATTGGTCGATTCATTCGTTTGCCAACCTTCTCTCTTCGAACCCAACCCTTGATTCAATGTTAGTTCGTGCCCTTCGTTCAATGATGAACTTTGATTTCAATTTCGAATAAGGAATTTCAAAACCTTAAAATTGATTTTGATTCCAACGAAGCCCTAATTAAACTGTCTATCACACCAACGTATTGTGTAAGGAAACCTTTCTATATTTCCTCCAAAAGATAGTTTAAGGAACAGCTCATCACATTTTGTCTAATAGTGGACGGAAGGTGACAACAAAAGTCTAATTAATTAATTCATAAAAAGTACAGATATTAAATTAAAATAAATCAAGATATGAAAGTCAATACAAAAAAACGTGTGACAGTTTGAAGAAAAAATTGATATTTACTCTAAAAAGTTGCTACTTAACTAACAAGCTCCTCGTGACACTTCGTATCTGATCCAAAAAGAATATTAAAAACACTTTTGTAAATAAATAAAATAATGATGGCAACACCTATTGCCAGTACATATTTGGCTTTTTCCAGAGCAATTACAGCCATTCCATCCAATGCATGCATCAAGTAGTTGTACCTTTTGTGGCAAAATAAAAATTGGCGTAGACTTCAAACACTCTCAACTGTTACAACTGTCCAAGTGGACGAATGATGACCAGAATAAATACTTAAATTTTGTCATCCATACTATTCCCAAATATGTGTTTGTGTGTTTGTTAAGGTTATATTTATTATCCACAACACAATGATAACACGATCCTCATTCGATTCCAACTCAACATAGACACACATGACATGAGCTCCATTGGAGCTCACATTCGAAAATGGCGATCGCAAAACCACTTTATTCACCTCCTCCGACGGTTCACTGCCTCATCTTCACCGGCGGCGACGCCTTGTTCCAGCCGCAGATCTTGTGGCGGAAGAGCAAAGGCTCTCTGTTTCCGATCTCGGTGAAAGTGTCGTCGAGAGTCAAGTGCCTCACGAAATCGACGGAGGAGAGGGAGTGGAGCGAGTCCGAAACCCTAACCAGCAATGGCGATGGCGATGATACTGGAGATGAGGATAACAAGGTTCAGGAGCCTTATAGGCGTGATAATAATGACTTTGTTCAGCAGCATTCAGGTTTGACTGGTTCGCCCAGGATCACTACAGCCTCGTCGAGTGATTCTCTGTCATTGGGAATTCGTGAGCCAGTTTATGAGGTCTGATTTATTCAATCTATATTTATTTCTACTTCTCGAATTTTGTATGATGGATGATGTTGTTTGAGATTTAGTGATGTTCATTTGTTAGATTTTCTAATTTTTTGTTATAATAAAGGTAGCGATGGATTAGGTGACTGTTCGAAACTTTAAATGGATAATTAGGAATTTTTTGACAAGATGATTATTGCACTAGAAATTGCTATATTACTCATGTTAATGAACAAAAGGTTACTAACCTAAAAAAGGTCTGTAATTTTCACAAACAATGTGGCTTTGTCTTAACAAATTTGTGATATAAGCTGTGACGCCCAAATTTTGGAACATCAAGAAGAACAGTTAATGCCACTAGCTATGATGCTTGCTCAAGGCAGCCAAGGATCTGCGCGTCTGTGACAGGTTCTGCTCCGGCTTTTCCTTCTTCGTCATAACCTGACATTAAACACCATGAGCTGTAAATCCCAATAGGAAATAGAAAACTCAACGGAAAGCTGCCCCCAGTTGAACACAAGAATAATGAGTTGTGAATATGGTTCTGAACAATTCGGTGGCGGCTGCTGGTGATCTTGATGATCTTTGAATTTGCATCTGTATTGTGTTTTTGTTCCTTTTTTCCTTCCATCTTTCCTTTTTCTTGCCAGTGTTTTCTCTAGTTATTATTTCTTACATGAATATTTGTTTCCTATGAAGGTGATAGAAGTAAAGTCCTCTGGGTTGGTATCTACTAGAAAAATAAATAGACGGCACCTACTGAAGTCAAGCGGTGAGTATAAATACATTTTTTGCTTTGGGTAAAACTGTATATTTCCATTTTCTGTTCACTATAATATACTAGTTTGGTTGATATAATCCTTAGAAGTATGCCATATGTACAATGGCTTTTGTCCCTATCTCTTGGTTACAGGAAAATTGCACTGCTGTTCCGTAGATGCATAACTTTATATAGTTACATGTTTTATGATAATTAATACTTGCAAGGAATTGTTGCATGGAAGCTTATGAACTAGCATAAAGTTGATTCTCTCTCTCTCACTCTCTCTCTCTCTCTCTCTTGTTTATTTGTACCTGACATATGCCTCCAATGCCAGGTCTTCGTCCTCGAGATATCCGTAGTGTTGATCCATCATTGTGGTTGACAAACTCAATGCCCTCTTTGCTGGTACTGCATCAACTTCGCTCTATTTTATATGTTGCATGTTTGTCTCTTCGTTACTTGATTTATATTACTTGTGCCATCAAACTGGGCTGTTTTCAAGTACTCATTCATTTTTGAAGGAATTCCAAACTAGTGATCTGGGTATTATCATGGAATTTATCATGTATTTGAATTTTATTTTCTAGACAATTCCATACTATAATTTCTATTTCCCTCTATACAAGTATCCATGAGGTATAGAAAATTATATTCAACTTTGTTTTGTTTACATTTCTTTGTAATAGATACATGTGGTGAGCGATTTCCACATCTGGTTTAGACTTACCCAAAATTCACTAAACTGATTCTGCTGGCCAAGCTTTTCCATTCAGTAAATAAATATGGCACTCTTATTATAGTGAAGAAATATTATGTGGCTTCTGGGTTTTGTTATGGGTATATATAAAGAGAGTGCTTCTTTGTAGTACTTGTTGTTTTGTCTGTGAACTTGCTTTGGATATGACCTGTCACCTATGGCATTGGCATTTGAATCAATAAGATTTCATGTACTTCATGTTCTAGTTAGGAGAAAGTGTTTTTAACTCATATAGATAGTATGGATATTTGAGCCTTAGAATACGTCGTTCAGTGCCTACAAAGTTGGGTTACTATCATAACATAATGTGACTAATGTGGCTGGATGTTAATTTTTAGCAATTGTTATTCATGTGGTGGTAGCTATTTATTAACAATATGGTGTCTAACTTCAGTCAATATCAGAAGCAGCATTGCATCTTGATTTTCTTGCTAAAACTCGTGTTTAACAGAACTGGTTTTCTGATTCCTATTTTAGGTCCGTGAGCATGCTATCCTTTTGAATTTGGGTTCATTGCGGGCTATAGCAATGCAAGAGCGTGTCCTCATATTCAACTATAACCGGTAATTTTTAGCTACTTGTTAGTGTAAAACACAAATGTTTTGGTTTTTATATTATATATTTGCAACTAGATGGTTCTCAGCTGAACAAAAAATGATGAACTTGTTTCATTTGTTGATTATCTGTAGTAAAGGAGGGAAAGCTTTTATAGATACATTGTTGCCTCGGTTAAATCCTAGAAACACAAATGGAGGACCATCCATGCCATTTGTGATTGAGGTCAGTTCTGTACACTGAATTTTTGTTAACATACTGTTTTGGCACTAGGCCTTTTCTCCATGTATAGTTTGACATTGTTAATTCTGGCACTAAAGCATGGTGTAAATACTTAAAATTGACTAAGCTAATGGTGAGTACATATCTGATTTTGTACTTATTGTAATGTCCTTATAAATTATTAACATTGATATCTTTGGTTAATGAAATCTCAGGCAATAGATTTTGCTCTAAAGCAACATCTCTCTTTGAGCGTATATGTCTGTTACTTGCAACATCTAATGATGGAATTCAAACTCTGTATGGCTACATAATATCTTTTTCAGTACTCTATGCTGCTATTGCTTGTTAGGAAATTGAAAATTTGCTCTCTTGATTCTACACCATGTCCTGCGCTCTTCTTTTTCATTCTTTCTTCCTTTCCCCCCTACCCTTTTGCTGGTGAACAAAAGCTATAGAGTGTTGTAATGCTCAAGAGATTATCATAAGTCTCATTGGGGGTGTCTTTCTCACTGGCACTTCATCATCTGACCCTCGAGTTCTTTCATTTATTTGTTTTCTTTCTTTGTTGCTGATCAAAAAAAGAAATGCTATGGTTCTGCTGCATATCCAGAACAAGTCGAACCCTCAACACCAAAATTCTTTTAAGAGAGCAAATTTTCAATTTCCCTTGTAATAATGATGGTGGGGCATACCCTCATAATAATGATTGATGTTCTTGACTTTGACATCTGCTTGCATTGGCATTGAACATTTCATATTGACACCTTGACCTATTATAGACCATCTAATACAAGGGATCAAAGTTCTATTTTGTAAAAAGAAAATAGAAAGGAATATCTACAGTGCAGAAAAATAATATAGAGAATTGATTATGATAATAGCTACTATTACTCATCCTTGTGATATGTTAGTGATGCTTTCAAGTTATAATAAACCTCATGCCAATTTTGCTGTTTGTTTAGTGTGTGTGTGTGTGTGTGTGCACACACACATGTCTATGTGCCTAAATGTATGGGTAAGGCTGTTAACTACATTTATCCTATAAATCTGAGCCAGTTAACTACATTAATGAAACCATTTGATTATCTGGACTTTTGAAGAACTTTTATTTTGTATATTCAGGTTGTTGAAGCAGCCTTGAATTCACGAACGCAGAGACTGGAGCGGAGATTAATGGATTTAGAACCACGTGTGAGTATGGGAATGTAGTGAGTATAAATTATATTTTTCTCCCTTTATTTGGCAATATTTTACATCAAGAGCATTATTAGTAAGGCTTTTTCTGGTACATTGCTGCTAGTGGTGGTGCCTATTGCCTTTTAACATTATACTAAAAGATATTTTGGTGTTGCAAAGGGCATGCCATTTTCTCAAATGTTGGATATATGCCTTGCCTTTAAAAATCTCTCTCTCTCTCTCTCTCTCTCTCTCTCTCTCTGGGTTTACTGCTCTTCCATGAAAAGACTGAACTTTTATGTCAATCAGTGATAATGATGCTGGGAAAAGCATCGTAAGCTTCATTCAGTTTCTGATTCTGATTCTGGAAACATGTACAGTCTGTTACCAACACATATGGACATGCATTTAGTACTGAAACGATGCATGCTCTCCCAGCTTGAGTCTCGTATGCATAAAAGATACGACATGGTTTTCACCTGTCAAATTGTGATTTTTAGGGTATATTTGTCACAATTAGTGTTGTGATTTTAGCGTGTATTTGTCACAATTAATGTTCTACCGTGTGCTGCAGGTTCAAGCTCTACTTGAGGTTTTACCTAACCGACAAACCGCTGACATATTGGAGCAACTTCGTATTAGCAAGCAGACATTGGTACTGTTTATTATTGCGTTGGCATAGACTATCCAATTAACTTCTGTTGATGAAGTTAGAAAATATTGATCTTTAATTATGTGTATGAAAGGTTGAATTGGGTTCAAGAGCAGGGGCTCTCAAACAAATGTTGCTTGATATTCTTGAGGACCCTCATGAAATCCGCCGTATCTGTGTCATGGGAAGAAACTGCACTCTTAAGAAAGGAAGTGATGACATGGAATGCTCTGTTCCCCTAGAAAAGCAAATTGCCGAGGGTGAGCATAATATTTCTTTGTTCTCACTCATGATTATTTGCATTTGGAATAGCACAGATACCTGTGGAGTTTGATTTTTTGCAGAAGAGGAGGAAGAAATTGAAATGCTTCTGGAAAATTATCTTCAAAGGTAATTTCTTAGTTCCATTTCCACTGCATACAAGGCATATCTGGTCTTAGATGGTATATTCGTGGAGTAACTTGTTTTTTTCTTGCAGCTTTTTCATTTGCCTAGTATGTCTTATTGTTAAATGTTACAGCATACATCTAAAACAACAATATATAAATTCCAGCATGCGAGTAGAAAGTCATTTTGCCTGATAATTTATTGCTATAGACTAAAGAAATTTACAGTTAGCAAACAAGAAGCCTACAAGTCCGTTGTTAACATTGGAAATGGATCTTGTATGCACCTCAATAATAATAATACTAGTAAAGATTGTGCTTTAAACTTGTAAATAACCACCAGTGGACCTACAGATTGGGTTTCAATTTCCAGTGCTTGACATGTGTATACAGTAAGTTAGTAGCTAGAGCTTCTAATCTAGCTTCTTAACGAAGCTATTCTGCTTCCAGTACAGGAAGTAACCCTGTCATCTTCAAAACCCACTGTCTGTTGTTATGGGTTGGTGTATCCTCTGCTCAGAATATGTAAAGTTACTTCATTACTTATTCCTCTGAAATTGTTTCCCAACTTCCCAAGCTGTTTCCTATATGTTAGCATATAGGGTAAAGGTGTTTGTTTTTAGGTAGAAGACTTCGGACCCAGGTCCATCTAACAACTTCGGAGACACTATGCCAGCCGAAGTAAGCCAGTGCCTCCCAAACTTTTCATTTGGTATAGGCCTCAACATGTTCAAAAAAGGTACCTATGAAATCAACTAATAACTTTAAGGGAACTATAATCACTAGATGAGGAAGTGCTTCATGCATGAAGTTTGATTTCTTTTTTATTTTTTTGGGTCAATAGACATCAAGTTTGATTAAACTAAATAAGTAGAATTTTCAAGAAGCTTCTAGATAGGGCATTTATTGTCTGTTATGTTATCTTTATGGAGGAACTTCAATGCAGCATTCTTTCAAAAGGAAGCTGTGTTTTCTGTTGCCCCCATGGTGAGTCTCATTGCTTCTTTTGACTGCAGATGTGAATCTTGTCATGGTCAAGCAGAGAGACTTCTCGATTCTGCAAAAGAAATGGAAGACTCAATTGCTGTCAACTTAAGGTCTGTATAAGTGTCCATATCTGTAATTTGTCAGTTATATCAAAATTAATCTGATGTATGAACTTTAGCTTTAAAAAATGCATAGTGTCAGACAGCCTAATGAAAAATAAAAATGAAACAATAATGCTATATATGACCACGTATATGTATCAAAAGTTGTACCATCTCATGTGTGACCACTTTATTGGTTTAATGGGACCCAACACTTGTGTTTGTTACCAATGCAGCGGTGACACATTAGGTGGCAAACAAAATATTGTCATCATAGCATATTGAAAATGAAAACTCAGATAAGGTGAGAAAGAACGTGAGAGAGTAGAAACAATTATAGCAACAAAAAAATGGATAAAGAGTAAGAGAGGTCATTCATTTCAGATTCAGTGCATAACGGAAACTGCCACTAGAGAACTGTCATTGTGCCATGGACTACAAGTCACCATGGGAAGGCTTGCCTCTCTATTTGGTGTTACTGTTCAGGCCTGAGCATGGGTTAGTCCAGCTTGACTCCTACTTTGGTTTAATGGCTTGTGCATGGCTGTGGTGGGTAAACATCGAGCACAATTTTTAGCTCTGATACGGTTGTTTATTTTGATTTTGTGATTTATCAATATTAGCAGAGCATATTTTATTTACAATATCATAGAAATTAGTACCATCAGGCTGGACCATATACTCTATCTGTGGTGATGATATTCAATGGTTCTTCGCTGGATCCAATGCCAATAAGAGTCCGTATGTGAACTATAAAATGGAAATACTTTATGTTTTACGTGGAAGTAAAAGAATGAAAAGAATTATTTGGTTTATCCATGAATGAGGTAGAGGCCATCTATATATAATAGATTGATACAATTTAGGAAACAATATAAATAAGGAAACAATACTAAATCAGTGATTGACACAATCACAGATTATATAAATAATACTAAAAATAAAAAGATTCTATGTACTCTAATTTCTATATTCAACACTCCCCTCAACCTGGTGTGAAGATATCCAACAATCGTAGCTTACCAATGGATGACTAGAAGAAGCCGGAAAAAACTCAACGGCTAGTCCAAATAAATGCTGCCGAACAAATCTGGTAGTCCACTAAATAAAAATGACCAAAAAGTGCTTAATACATTAGCACCACACCCTAGAAAGGGAAAAAATAGGGACTGAATTGCCTTACAAGAGCTACCAAAGCTTCTATGGCCAGGAAACACTCTAGTTGGCAGCTAATAAGACCTTGATCGGCATTAGAGGTCAGAGCTGATGTTGAGAGATAGTTTATGGTTGTGCTGGACTGTTGTAGAAACTGGTCGGAGCTAATGTCGGGACAGTTTAAGGTCATGCTGGGCCGTTGTAGGAACTAACCGGTATCAATGTCGAGACAGTTTATGGGGCCGTTGTAGGAACTAACTGGAATCAATGTCAAGACAATTTAAAAGGTTATGTTGGGCTGTTATAGAGACTCACCGGAATCAATATCGAGACAGTTTAAAGGGGTCATGCCGGACCAATGTAGAGAATTGGATATTGCGCAGCAAGTGTGGCACACACATAACTTAAGACGTGGTGTTGAACGATGATGGCAACAGATGACTAAGTGTGCTAAGGGGTGGTTTATTAGAATGTGTGCCAGGGGGCTGCTTTGGTGGGGCGTAGAGGGGACGGCTTTAGTTGTGCACCAAAAAGGGCGGCTTAGGTGGTACGCGAAGGGAGCGACTTGGGTTGTGTGCTAGAGGGGGCGGCTTGGGTGGTTCATATGATATATCACCATGCTCACTATGATATAGGTATGATACCTCCCCTCAAACTCAAATAGGCTTGAAGATAGAAACCTATTTGGGATTGAAATAGAATGAAAGACAAAGTAAAACAGAAACACACAAAAAAATGGATTGCAAGTAAAAAAAAAATATGATAGAGATATTTGGGATAGAAATAAACTAGTGGATAGAGGAAGAGATCACCACGAAATGATATTGAAAGAAAATATGGCAGTGGAATGGGTTGAGGTCCAGTAGGCGGCCAAGGCAAGGCTGCTGCCCGCCGGTGAAGCAAAATTACTAGGTACTTAACCTAACTCTGATACCAAAAAAAATGAAAAAAATTATTTGGCTCATCCATGAATGAGGTAGATGCCATGTATATATAATAGATTCATAGTACAATTTAGGAAATGATATAAATAAGGAAACAATACTAAATCAATGATTAACACAATCACAGATTGACACAATCACAGATTATATAAATAATACTAAAAATAAAAAGATTTTATGTAGTGGAATGGGTTGAGGTCCAGTAGGCGGCCAAGGCAAGGCTGCTGCCCGCCGGTGAAGCAAAATTACTAGGTACTTAGCCTAACTCTGATACCAAAAAAAATGAAAAAAATTATTTGACTCATCCATGAATGAGGTAGATGCCATGTATATATAATAGATTCATAATACAATTTAGGAAATGATATAAATAAGGAAACAATACTAAATCAATGATTAACACAATCACAGATTGACACAATCACAGATTATATAAATAATACTAAAAATAAAAAGATTTTTGTACTCTAATTTCTATATTCAACAGAAGTCTCCAAGCTAAATTTTTTATTTGAGAAAATTAAGTGGATTTGGAGCTTGGCTAGATGTTCAACCTCAACGACTACATCAGTGACTAATTTATGCATTATTACTTTTTCTATCAGCGCTCGGAGGCTTGAGTTGAGTAGAGTGGAATTGCTACTTCAAGTTGGGACATTCTGTGTTGGAGTGGGTGCTTTGGTTGCAGGTAATTCCTTATTAAACACAATAGATATCAACTGTCAAATATTTGTGGTTTTAATTTTTCTGGATCTTATTCACATAAAGGGGGTTCATAAATCTCTCATTTAGGTTAACTTATTATTTGATGGGCAAGAAAAAATTGTGGTGTAGAGAGGAAAAAAACTTCTAAATAGACTCCCAATTCGTCTATCTAGTCTGCAACCATCAAATACTGAAAATTTGTATTACAATTTTACCCCTAAGCAAAATTACCATTAAGGACAAATTTACTTAATTACCAAAAAACACAATTTCTTTGCACACTCAGGTGGAGAGGAGAGCCAATTGGCCTAGTTGAGGGAGTGAGCCTAACATGGTAGGATGCGCTTAAATGGAGACAAGCATCCCCTAGTGCATCAAGGTGAACATATTAGAATACTTCTAGGAGATTATTCCTGAATGCTTAGGCCCTAGACTACCGCACCCCGCACGTTAACCTCAGTTGGCATGACTCAACCTTGAAAGGGGAGCCATCATTGCATACGATGATGTCTTAGCGGTCCACATGTCATTTCATGAGGTTGGAAAATAGTTCCCAACCACATGGAGGGAATGGCATAGTGATGACATGTTCGTACCAGGAGGTAAATTAGACCCTTGTATCTATAATGATTTGAGTGTTCCAATAAAAAAAAGTTACTGATAGCATTTCTAGGTTATCAAGTTTTCCTCCATCTTCATTTTTATTTATAGTTTTGCTAAATGACACTTGATCTTATTATTACTTGACCTAAAATCTTTGAATTTTAAAGTATCCCTTTACAGTAATAGCTTAGACCTAACTCCTTTTGTTTCGTCAACTAAAATTGTATCTTCTGCAAACAACATACACCAAGTAATACCCTCTTAAAAATGTTCTTTAAAATTAATAAACTAAATTCTACACTGAAAAATTGGGCTAACTATCTTCTATGACAAGGCTAGAGTGTGAGTGGCTAATTCATGTTCAAGTCCTCCATAGAATCTCAATGGCTTGTCTAAATTGTTGAATTGCACAATGCAAATTCAAATCATGGATTACATGACCGGTTGAGGGCATAACTTGTATCATTTTGAAATTAATAAAATTTCTATACACTCTGCCTACCGAATGGATTTTTTAAATTTATTTTTAATTATTAATTTTTTTTAAAGAAGGATTTCATTGCTCGATTATGCAGTGGACACAATGACAATGAAGGACTATAGCATATAAAATGTATATTTGCCACTTAGAAGGAATCCTTTCATATGAAGAAATGTACATTCTAAAAAAACAAAAGTGGCTTAATTCTAATGCTTGGATTATCTAATTTTCATGGACTCAGAAAATACTAGAGCAAGATTTTGTTGAGTATCAATGTACTAGAGCCCATATCAAGAGCTTGTTTTTCTGCTGATTGCAGGTATATTTGGCATGAACTTAAAGTCATATCTTGAAGAACATGTGGTATTTCCTCTTGGATCTTTAAATGCTCACCGTTCGCTTTCCATCCAGTTGATGATTGTCAAATAGTCACGTTATCATTACCTCTCTTATGTAGTTCGCATTTTGGCTGACAACGGCGGGGATAATTGTCGGTGCTGTTGTTGCATTTTTTCTGATGTATTCATATCTCAGGGCAAGGAAAATACTGTAAACTTCAGAGAATCAAAAGTGTAAGTTACATCTATCTCATCCTGACAACATATTTACCTTTTTATGCATATTTAACCGATTGATGATGTCATGGACTCCAGAATCAAGTCGGTATTAGTAGACATTCACTATTTCAAGGGTCCATAACATCTTAATACTTGCTGATTCCATGACATCAACAGAATTTTTGTTTGTTTGTTTTAAAACCTTGAAACCTAATAATAATCTCATCATTGACAGGTGATGCCAGCACCGGTGTAGTATGATTGGAAAGAGCTGTTGGGCCAGATATGCATACAAGTAGCGCTTCATTACTCCAAGATTTTAGGGAATAGTTTTTTTTTTTTTTTTTTTCAGTAAGTAATTACTACTTTTTATATATATTTTTAATGACGGAGGAACCCCTCCAAGGCCCACATTGGACCAACAACTGCGCAGCGTAAATCCCACCAGAAACCACCCAAAAGCCACAAGTATTGGGTATTTCATCTGATTGTGAGGAGTTGAGCCCCGAGTCTCGATGGATTTCTCTCTCCCGGCTTCTGGAAAGGCGTGTACACAGTTGTTATTTTTTAAAATATTTTTTTGATTTTTGAAATGAACGTAATCATGGCATCACGAAGTATTTCCAGATACACGTGACGTGTTATCAAGAAGAATTTGTAGAAACCTATACATGCAAATCAAAGAGTCTTAGAATGATACCATTTGTTACATTTTTTGACCCGTCGAATCATATACTCAATGTTCATATGCTTGTGGGAAAATGATGCAATTGAGAGAGAACATAGAATTATAAAAAAAATCGCTTAGGGTATATCTATTGACAATGAACAATATTATGGGGCAATGATCTTCGGGACAAAATCGCAGGAAAGTACCTGCAGGAAAGTACCTGAAGTGAGGCCTAGGCTCAAGCTCTGAACTGATTATTAAAATACAGCCAGCCCAGAAGGATTCTAGCAACCAAAAATTCATATGAAAGTTTTTCTTCCACTTTCACTTGATCATCCTTTAAAAGAAAAATGTATGGTCACAATCGGTTTTCATTGTTTTTTGGGCAGAAAACATATTCTTGTAGAAGTGGTGGTATGGGTGATGGTAGCAGGGCAATGGTTCGCTGATTGTGTTGGAAAAGACTAATCTATCTCATTATGATCAAAAAAATGTTTCCACCGTTGAAGGAGATTTTTTTTTTATCGAAATATTTTTTGAACCATACCTTTTAAAAATTGTTGAACTCATGACCTCTTTCTTAAAATTAAACCCTTAACAGAGTCATGATAACTAACTAGGTGAAACCTAGTTGATCAACTTTATTTACAAACCACAAATTATCATAACGCCATCAAACAATTACATAATATTTATCATAAAAACATATAACATGCACCCAAAAAAAGCATAACAATGTGCATATTTTAATTTTTTTTTTTTTTTTTTTTGGGGGGGGGCTTTGGGGGGGTCCCCAATGAATAAATGCTGCTCCTGCACTTTCAACTTAAAAAGCACTACTGAAAGGGCAGTTTAGGCTATTGCAATATGCATTTGCACCACTAACCAGATGAATTTGTCCATCATCCCCAGTAGCGGTTCTAGGCATCAAAATTAAACCAATCTCTAATTAAACAGGAGCAGCCTCCCAGACAAGTCAACATCCTTAAGTTGTGCAAAAAAAATAATAATAAAATATTTATAAAGAAAAATGAAAAAAGAAAACAATGCCACAATAGAAGATGGAATATGGAGATAAAATGTCCGAAAGACAAGGGGGAGAATATCCTGCCATAGGCTCTGGCACAAAAGAACACACGAAATTACTCCTGTCGTACAGTACATATTCAACGAATAAAATTTAAAAAATGGTACCTACTTCTAATGAAATGTCTGGTACATGATCCACCAAAATTTAAAAAGAAAAAAAGAAGCGCAAATTGTACAAAAAAGAAAGAAAGAAAAGAAAAGGGTGTTCTGTTGACATAGCGGGAAGCTATGATCGAGAATGGTATCCTTCTGCACTTCGAGCATGCTTGGAGATGGTATTCATCCATTAGGTATTAGCAGATAAATGGTTTTGCGATCACACTAAGGACCATATGCTTCCCAGCGCAAATCACCGAAACACAACATCAATCTGCAATGAATCGGAAAGGCAATTTTTTCTTGCCAAAAGACAAACGGAAAAGCCTCAGTTGGGTTGAAAAACATGGGAAAAAAACGATAATACCTACGGTAGTAATGGCTATTTTGGTGGGTCTGCTGTAGAATTAGGTTCTTTTTCTGGTCTTAAGGCTCCTCCATTAATGAACATATTCCCCACTCCAACCTCCATGGCCTCCCTCTCATCCTTCTCCTTCTTCTTCTCAGAAGTACCACTCTCTGTGGCCTGGGTTCGAGATGGTTCAAGAAGCCGAGGGCCAGCACTTAGCCATGGATGACTAAGGCACTGGGCTGCGGTTGGTCTTTTTTCAGGGACAAAATCCAGTATGGGAACAATAAAATCAGCCATGTCAATTGCATCTTGCTCGCTAAACTCATACTTCTCCATAAGCACTTTTTTAAGAGGCCAAAAGCGCAAACGACGGATGTGCCTCAAATCCCCATATCTGTTGAAGAATTCCCGGGAATAGCGACCACCTAAAGCAATCTGTGAGACATGTTTATAAAGAAGACAAATGATGGGAGGAATATTTGGTATACAAGTATCATATAGTTTACTTGTTGTGAATATATATATATTACTGTGTTTGAATTATTTTGTAAACAATGTGTAAAAAAACCCAATTTAACACTTACCTTCCGTGGCATCATTCCAAGAAGCTCCATCATCAGTGCCAAGTGATCCTGCAAAGTAGATGGACATAACAAACAAACAATGACTGAGCTGAACTTGAAACACCAACTTATAATAGGGGGAAAAACGTAATATCAGATATGAAGTATTATTACAAATGGATGGACAGGAAAACCATAATCAGACAACTTATGAGCACCAGAGAAGCCAAATATAAAGACACGCTTACAAATTGAAGCCACAATATACTCAAAATCAAAACCACTGAAAAGGGTTTAAATTTCTGAGAGAAGTACTCAGCCTAGTCTGCAAAAATATTCTATTTTATAATTTTGTGTAGAGGTACATCACACAATAACAATATAAATATAAATTAATAATGCTCGTTTAAAGGAATCCGGATCTTCTGATCTGCAGTGCATTGCCTGTAGTGCCCCAAAACAATGTCGTTTTGGGGCAAGGGAAGGAGAAGAGGAAAGGTGAGCTCTCTCTTTTCTTTTCTTCTCTTTTTATTTTTTTAAGTTTTGCCCCAAAGCAATGTTGTCTTGGGACACAATAAGCAATGCACTATAAAGGATCCAGATTCCATAAAAAGTAGAAAGAACCTTAATTAGGGAAGGCAAAGCGTTTATATTCTCCACAAAGTTCAGAGAGGCATCAATGTAAGGAGAACCCTCTCTATTACCCATTTATAGAGAACTCTGAGTCCCAGTAAAATGCTTTTAACCCTAGGATTTGGTTCATCTATCTTAAGGACCAGTTTTTTCTCTGCCCCTAAAGAAACAACCACATCAAACTCTTAATCCTACCATCCCTCAAACAATGTATGCCAACACTGCACAATTCAAGGTTATATAACAGTGGTAAATGATACTAGATCAAAAGTTCAGTGGAGATTAGTAATTATTAGAAACCTGAAGGATGCCAATGATGTTCTAGACCTCGGGAAAAAGTTTTTTCAAAATTTACTCCGTATTAGAAGACTGCTCAGAGCATGAAATCAAGAGATGATTTTGATGATTGCTTTACCCAAAATTCAGAACAAATGCATTCATGCAATACAGACTGCCACAAATTTTGTCTCAAAGCTTATTTTTGTCCGAAGTCAACCTTTTGAAAATATAAAGCATACAATCATGCTTGCTGATAAAGTTATCTTTTCTGACTCCTTCAAAAATGGTCTCATTTTTCATCTCAATTTACATTAACAACGAATGAATAAATGTTTTAGGTATTACCCAAATCACAAAGAAAAATTATAGAAGCAGGATGAAAGATTATCAACAGAGAGATCATGATTAATGATTATTACAAAACAATTCACATACATAGATTTTACATAACAATTTTAGCACAAATAGAATCAGGCTAAAAATTAAAACCCACAGATTACTATTCTTATTATTTATTTATTTTCAAAAGCAACAAAACAAATTATTGTACACAGTTTATCCATGTAAGGATTATACAAGTTGAATGCGTATGAGCTAGAACACTAATATATAAGGATTATACAAGTTGAATGGGCATCAGCTAAAACACTAGTATATTTGTTAATTGCTACTACTACTACTAATACTACTGAACACTAGTATATAAGGATTATACAAGTTGGATGGGTATCAGCTAGAACACTAGTATATTTGTGTATGGGTATCAGCTAGAACACTTTATACAAGTTGAATGGGTATCAGCTAGAACACTAGTATATTTGTTAATTGCTGCTGCTACTACTAATACTACTACTTTAAAAGTAGAAATGATTGACAAGAAAAAATATAAATTAGTAGTTTTACATAGAGCCCTTGGAAAGTGGACCTAGGTTCAAGTTAAAGCAAACCACTATAAATCTTGTGATAAAATATCAATTCTTTATTCTCTCATATTTGCTCTTGAATCTATTGTTTGCTCATCATTCATGTCCTGGTCTTGCTTCATAAGCTTGCATTGTTTTGATCGTTCAAATTTATGTCATAGCAACTATATCCTTTTTAATGTAACATCGAGGATTAAAATTTAATTTTTTTGGAAATATATAATTCACCCCTTTCTTGGGTTGCCTACTTGGGTAACACAAACAAAAGAAAAATATGAGGTATCTTTTGACATTGTAATGCATAATTACGAACTGGTTGAAACTGGAATTTGAACTCCACAAATAAACGATTAATTCAACTAATACAAAAATGTCACACTTGAACTCTTTTAAACCATTCCACATAGTTATGAGCACAGTCCACAGCAATTTTTTCATTCAAACCCTTCACTTTAACAGAAAGGTATGGAGTTCTCAAAGACTGCATTTCCTTTGTTCCAAAAAGGCCAGGCAAAAGTTGAGAAGATTTGTCATAGATATTCCCTACTGTATGAATCCACACGATCCTATCATAAGTAACAGAATAGAATGAAAATTCAAATTCCAAATTCCCAACCCCTGGTGAGCCCATGCCCCCCTTGTTAGGCATTAGTGAAGTCAACTCAAACCATAAAAAGAATAGTTATTCAATATAAATGGTGAAAATGGGCAATAAAAAGCATCATGTGAAATGGTACAAGTCATTTACAGTATGCTTTATTACTTTTCGATGCATTAAGTTGGCATTGATATCTTCCTATAAAACCACATATTGCAAACGTTGTCACTCAAAAAACATATCAATACCAAGTATGA